GCTGCAATGATTTCAACTAAGAGGTTTAGAGAAGGGGACTTATGCAGCAGAAGCTCAGATCTCTGAAGAGGCACCAGCTGGCTGGTGCTGATGTCTCTAAGCCCAGAGGAAGTTCCCATGGGGCTGGGACCCAAACCTCAGAGGAGGCGCTGCTCAGCTGTTGCTAGTTCTCTGAGTGGGTCCAGAGAAGCTAGTTCTATGAGTGTCAAAAATTAAAAAAAAAACAAAACCTTGCAAACTGGAATGAATTACCACTTCCAGGGAAAGTGCTGCGGAGTGACACTCACAAGAACGTGAAGCAAAACAAAAAAGAGCAAGTCCCTTCTTCCTCTCCCAGCGGTCCAGTCGCTCACGCGCGCCCCCTGCTGGCAGATCCTAACAGGAGGCCGGTGGCAAAGCATAAATGCGGGTTTCAGAATCCTGTCCCCGGCGCATGACGTAAAGTATGTAAGGGTTGGTTTGAAGTTGACAGTAGTTTAATAACTGGCATAGTTGATTCATTTGAAAAATATTCGATGAAACTATACAAAGAATCAAAGAACGAAAACTTGTGTTCCTCAATACCTTTTCGTATCCTCCCTATCCAGAGGTTGTTCCTGTTGTATATCCTTCCTGACACTGTCCTTATTTTATAAACGAGCAAGCTGGCACAGAGAAGCTAGGATGTTACCCAAGACCACACAGTGAGAGGCAGAAGCAAAATTTGAACCAAGGCTTCCTGGCTCCAAAGCCCATACTTTTAACTACTATGCTATAGTGCCTATGTATATGGATCATAGTATTTTATGCATGTACCTTTCTGCAACTTTTTTCACTTATGATCATGTTTTGGAGATCTATCCATGTTGATACCTATAGTTTTAGTTCTATCATTTAAGACATTATTAACATTCCAATTAGGACTTACCACATTTTATTGATCTGTTCTTCTATTAATGGACATTAGGTTTATTTATTTAACAAAGATATTTGTATAGCTCTTACAATGTTCCAGGAACTGTTCTAAGTGTTTTATAATTTTTAGTTAGCTCAAAGTGTTGCCATACAATATGTTCCCTGTGATCGAGTGTTAGAATTTCTTTAGAAATGGAATTTCCTAGTTCCATCTGATTTTTTTTTTTTTTTCCTTTTGTCTCTTTTTTTGTGACCGGCAATGAATCGCAACCCTCAGTGTCACGCCCATACCGGACCGGGACCGGCAACAGGATCGCAACCCTCGGTGTTGCCCCCGCACCTCGCTCAGCCAGTGAGCGGCCGGTCTGTATGTGGGATCCAAACCCTCGGCGGGAGCACTACCGTGCTTCCCAAGCAGCGCACTGTAGGAGTGCACCACCGGGCCGGCCCTCCATCTGATTTTTTTAAAGTATAAATTCCTATAAGTAAAATTGCGTGCCAGAGAGCACGCCCATGTTAATGTTCTTATATTTTTCTGAATTGCCCCTGAGATGTTTTACCAGTTTACATTCCCACCACAATGGTAAGAGAGTACCTATTTTCCCACCTTCACCAACATTGTGTATTAACATTAATGTCTTAAATACTAAAGCTTTTAGCCCACCAACTTGTGAAGGGACAAATAAAATATGGTATGTATCCATACAATGGAATATTATTTGGCAATCAAAAGAAATAAAGTTCTGATACATGCCTCAACATGTATAAACCCTGAAAACATTATGCTAAGTGAAAGAAGCTGGTCACGACAGACCACATATTGTATGGTTCCATTTAGATGAAATGGCCAGAATAGACAGATCCATAGAGATAGAAAGTAGATTTGTGGTAGCCTAGGACTCAGTGGGAGATGTTTCTTTATGGGTTGATGAAAATGTTTTAAAATTATGGCCAGCCATCCCCCCAAGAAAGGTTTTTAAAATTAGATTGTGATGATGGTAGCACAACTCTATGAATATACCAGAAACCATTACACTGTACAATTTAAATGCCTGACCTGGGGCTGACCCCCGTGGTGCACTCGGGAGAGTGCAGCACTGGGAGTGCAGCGGCGCTCCCGCCGCGGGTTCGGATCCTATATAGGGATGGCTGGTGTGCTCACTGGCTGAGTGCGGTGCAGGCGACACCACGCCAAGGGTTGCGATCCCCTTACCAGTTATAAAAAAAGACAAAAAAAATAAAAATAAAAATAAAAAAAATAAATGCCTGACCTGTATGGCATGAGAATTATATCCCAAAAAAGCTGTTTTAAAAAAGAAGTAAAGCTTTTATTGGTATATGGTGAGGGTGATGCCTTGGAAGGGAGCAGGATTGCAAACAACTATGAGCTGAATTGCATTGAAGTCCTAACCCTCAGAACCTCAGAATGTGACTATTCTTGGAGATAGGGCCTTTATTATTATTATTTTCGTGGCTGCCTGGTACAGGGATTGACCCCTGGACCTTGGTGTTAACAGCACCATGCTCTGGGCCGAGCCCGTGGCGCACTCGGGAGAGTGCGGCGCTGGGAGCGCAGCAGCGCTCCTGCCGCAGGTTCGGATCCTATATAGGGATGACCAGTGCACTCACAGCGCTCACTGGTTGACCACGGTGTGGCCGGTCTCAAAAAGGACAAAAAAAAAAAAGCAGCACCATGCTCTAACTAACTGAGCTAACCGGCCGGCACAGAAGTTTAAAATGTCAGTCCTTCACAACAGATCATTTGGGAAGCTGTGCTCCTAGGTACAAGGATGGCTCCTGCCCTCCAGATCTCAGGTAAGGGTGGAGGGAGCCAGAGTTGGTATAAAGTCTAGTTGAGTTGAGCAAACATTGACGTACAGACTTGACATATATTTGAAAGCGATGCAAAAACACAAAAGGACATTCATTCCCTCATTTGTTCATCTAGTATTTACTGAATACCTACTCTGTACTAAGTACTAGGGATACAGCAGTGAGGAGGACAGATAAGGCCCCCACCCTTCTGGAGATAACCTCTAGTAAGACAGACTATAAATAAGTTTACCAAGTGAGTAAATTTGATGATTTCAAAGAGTAAGTGCTATGAGGGAAATGAAAGAGAAATGGGATAGAGAGCAACTGCAAGGCGGATGCTGCTGGTTTATGGGTGGTCAAAGAAGGAGTCTCTAAGACAGTGTCATTTCAATGGACTCCTGAGGATGGGAAAGAGCCAGTAATGCATTGAGTAGAGGGAACAGCATTCCAGGCAGAGGGTACAGCCAGTGCAAAGGCCTTAAGGTGGGAATGAGATTGGCTGTGTGAGTAGAAGGAATAAGGCCAACTTGGTTGAAGTGTTGGGGAAAAGGGAGAGAATAGTAGGAAGTGAAGTTAGAGAGGTAAGCAGGGGCTAAATCCTACTGTCCATAGGAAGGAGTCAGGATTTTATTCTAAGTGCACGTAGTGTTTAAGCAAGAGACCAAGGCAATATGATGTGGGGTTTTAAAAGATCTCTGTTGCATGGAGAATGGATTGGAGGGAGGCAAGAGTAGAATTAGGGAGACAAGTTGCAGGCTGTTGCAGACATCCAGTTGAGAGAAGATGCTGACTTGAACTTGACTTGGTGACAGTGGAGGCTAAGAGAATTGGACATAAGGTGAATCAGATTGAGCCTCTGTTGTCCATTATCTGGAATAAGGGATTTCGCTTGGGGTGATTGGATTGACTTCCAATGTGGATTTTGTGGTTATGTGCTTATGAGGGGATTTTTGTGCTTATGAGAGTATACAAGGGTATTTCAAGAAGTTCATGGTAAGATTCATATTATCTTTTAATTCTATTTCTTCCTGGTACCTTCTTGTAGGATCTGTAGGTAAGGAAACATTGGTTTAGGAAATAACACCCGATAAAGTGTTAAGCATTCTTTATTCACAAGCTTCTGTGTCTGAAGCTAGGGTATAAAACTAGCTGCCATCACAACCACCATTAAAAAATATCTGAGGCTATCATAAAAAAAAGTGTTGGTGAAGATGTAGAGAAATTGAAACCCTTGTACATTACTGGTAGGAACATAAAATGGTGCACTGTGGAAAACAGTTTGGTCGTTCCTCAAAAAGCTAAACACAGAATTATCATATGACCCAGGAATTTCACTCCTAGGTATACACCCCAAAGAATTGAAAACAAGGACTCGAACAGATCCTTGTAGGTCAATGTTCATTGCAGCATTATTCACAATACCCAAAAGGTGGAAACAATCCAAGTGTCCATCGACAGATCAACAGGTGAATGCATAAACAAACTATGGTATGTACATACATTATTCAGCCATAATGAAGTTCTCATATATGCTACAACATGGATGAACCTTGAAAACATTATACTAAGTGAAGTAAGCCAGACACAAAAAGACAAATACTGTATAATTCCACTTATACGAAATATCTAGAATAGGCCAATTCATAGAGACAGAAAGTAGACTAGAGGTTACCAAGGACTGTGGGGAGAGTGGAATGGGGAGTAATTGTTTAACGGTTACAAAGTCTGTGTTTAGGGGGATGAAGCCATTTCGGAAACAGTGGTGATGGTTGAACAACACCGTGAGTGTAATTAATGCCTCTGAATTGTACACTTAAAAATGGAAAAAAATTGCACAAAGAAGAGACAAAAGACAACTGAACCTACTTTTGTAGCACAACCACAACTCTCTTGCAAGTGGGAAGTGTTGATATGGAAAAAGCGAACAGCTATGAAGGAAGACTGATAGTCCAGGGAGACTTCACACAGGAGGTGATGTTTAGGGAATGTTGCCTAGAGGAGGTAATCATGAGCTGAGTTTAAGAGTAAGATTTCCACAAAGACCTGTCACACGCTCCTCAAAGATTCCCATTGCTTCCTGTGAACCTGGACAACGGAACTTGTTTATCTAAAACAAAGCCCCGCCACCTCGATGTCGTCACATAAGCCTCGCCCCAGGTTGCCGCATGCGTACTCGAAGAGTTTTGGAGCGAGAGTGTGGTCGGGAGCCGCAAACGGAAGTGATGCACTGCACATGCGCAGTGGCGACAAGGAGGTTAGAGGAAAAGTCGGGACCTGACTGCGCCCCGCGCTCGCTTCCGGAAGTGTCTACTGCGGCACCATGCTATCCGAGCTGGGTTTAATCGGGACCATAGGCGAAGATGACGAGGTGCCGGTGGAGCCCGAGTCTGACTCCGGAGACGAGGAAGAGGAGGTATGAGTCGGTCGGGGGTGGGGGCACGGCCGCGGGCAGGGGCACGGCTCCGGTCCGTCGGGTTTCCTTGTCTGCTTCCCTTCTCCGCGATTCCTCAGGCCCCTGACCCCGAATCCTCGGCATCCTCCTGCCAGGCTGGGAGGTTTCCCAGGAAGGGTCTCACGGGACCCCAAGATCTTCCTCAGTCTGCTCGCCACTAGCTTTTCCCCACCTTTGTGCCTTGGCCGTGTCATTCTGTGTCACTTTGCTGAACTCATTATCCATTCATTGAACTGATATTTAACCCAGGCCCTGCGTATGAGAGATGCAGAAGCGAAGTTAGTCTTGGTTCCTGCTCAAGGAGCCATGGTTACCCATCCATTGATTTGTTCATCGAGCCAGTATTTATTGAATTCTTAACGTGTGCTAGACCTAGTGTTAAGCGTTGGGACGTAGCAGCGAACAAGATGCGCCCCACTCTCCTGAAGCTTGTGTTGGAGTTGGAGGGTTACAGGTATTAAGCAGTATGGCAATTAAAAAGGGATCGGTGTCATGAAGAAGGTGCCTATCCTTCAAAGATTCAGCCCAGATGTTTCCTCCTCTGCATTCTAATCTGCTTACCAAACACTTCCATTTGGATGTTCCATGGCCTCTACAAATTCACCTCCTCCAAAGCTGAACTCATTGGCTCCCTCGTCCTCTCTTTCTGTTCTTAAGCCAGCAACCTTGGAGTCATTCTTGACAAATTCTAACTCTTCACCCCCTCCAGTGCTCTGCAAGCTAGCTCATGAATCTCTCCTAAGCTTCTCCCTGACTCTCTCCATCCATACTGTTTTCACCCTAGTCTAGGCCACTGCCATCTCACACGTGGACACCTACAGTCCAAACATTAACCTCATCCCCATCTTTTTCTCTTGTCCCCTTCTCGTGTATTCTTCACTTAGCAGTAGAGTGACCTTTTCATAATAAAATCACATTAGAGCTCTCCCTTGCTTAAATTCTCCATCCTGTTTCCATGTGGCTTTCAAGGTCCTGCCCAATCTGGTCCTTTCCATCTTCATGACTTTCATCTCTCACAACTCTCCCCTTCATGACCAACACTCTGATCAGACTCACTTCAATTCTTAGAAACCTGTGTGGTCTTTGTTCTTTCTCTACTCAGAGGCTTTCCTCCTCCTGTTCCTCTGCCTGAAACACTCTTCCCTCTGCTTTGTCCAGAAGCCCCTAGTCATCTATGGCTTACATGTCATACATTCTGGAAGCCTTTCCTGACACCTGCTCCCCACCCCAAACAATTAAATGCCTTCTTGTCTCTCTATGGCACCACTTATATAGTATTGAAGTTTCCTGTTATCTGTCTGCTGAGAGGCCTTTTAGAATAGTGGTTAAGAGTTTGGACCCAGGAACTTAAGTGTCCGGGTTTGAATCTCACTTCTGCCACTTACTGGGTGGTGATTGTGGGAAAGATACTTAACCTGTGTCTCGCATTCGCCTCTGTAAAGTGGAGATAATGGTAGTACCTCATAGGGTTAAATAAGAGACATATATATGTGCATATGTATACACACATATACTTATGTACATATATGATACATAACTAAGAATGGTATACTCAGTAATTGCCCTCAAGTAATGGTGATTATTTATTAGTCATTCCTTTTTCAGCTCATTGACATTGAGAGTAGGGACTGTGTCTTGATTCTTTTTCCCCAGTGCCTAGTGTAGTGCCTTGTGTATATTAGATACTCAATAGCTATGTCTTTCTTTCTTTTTTCCCCCAGCTTTAATGAGGTATGATTGACAAATATAATTTTATAAATTTAAGGTACACAACATGATGATTTGATATATATCTATGTTGTGAAATGATTACTACAATCAAGTTAGTTAACACATCTATCACCTCACCTAGTTACCATTTTGTTTTGTTTTGTGATAAGAACATTTAAGATCTCTCTTTGCAGATTTCAAGTATGCAATACATTGTTATTACTGTAGTCATCATTAGATCCCCAGGATTTATTCTTTTTTTTTTTTTTTTCCAAAATTCTTTTTTTGGGGAGGTGCTGGCCAGTATGGGACCTGAACTCTCTTTGCAGATTTCAAGTATGCAATACATTGTTATTACTGTAGTCATCATTAGATCCCCAGGATTTATTCTTTTTTTTTTTTTTTTTCCAAAATTCTTTTTTTGGGGAGGTGCTGGCCAGTATGGGACCTGAACCCTTGACCTTGATGTTACAAGGCTATGCTCTAACCAGCTGAGCTAACCACCTAGTCCCCTTTTTTTCAAAATTCTTGAACATCTACCCTTGTTCATTTTATAACTGAAAGTTTGTACCCTTTAACCAGCATTTCCCCAATTTTTCCACACCCAGACCCTGGCAATCAGCATTCTACTCTCTGTTTCTACAAGTTCAGCTTTTTTAGATTCCACATGCATTCTCCAATGGTAGGTGTGGTGTTCTCTATATGTTCATTGAAATGAAGCTTGTTAATTGTGTTGTCCAGATTTTCTACAGACTTGCTCATTTTGGTCTGCTTGATCTGTCAGTTACTGAGAGTGGTGTGTTAAAATCTCCCATGACAATTGTCGATTGGTCAGTCTCTTCTTGTAATCTGTCCCTTTTATATTTCTCTTCTCTTACTGGGCACCCTCATTTCCTTTTTCCTTTTCTACTGTTCTTTCATCTCAGCTCCATGGTCACCCTGCCTCTCCGTCTTCCCAGGGGCCCATTGTGCTGGGCAGAAGGCAGAAAGCCTTGCAGAAGAACCGCAGTGCCGATTTCAACCCTGATTTCATTTTCACTGAGAAGGAGGGGATGTATGATGGCAGCTGGGCCCTGGCTGATGTCATGAGCCAGCTCAAGAAGAAGGTGAGACTGACAGGTTGGACCGTGGGCTTCGGGGGTTAACTCTGACCTCTCTGCCTTTTATCATCTGCTTATATCCAGAAGATACTGGAATTCCTTTGAAAATATGGTGGAGTTTTGATGGGGTGGGGTGAGAGGGTCACAGATAACCCACAGTCTTAACACCAAATAAAGTGTAAACTGCTGCAAAATGGATTTATTGCAGACTTTAGTTACAAACACATTCATTGATCTACAGATGTGACATTTAGAAGTATCAGAAATAGCTTTATTTCCTTCATTATTAAAGATCCTAGACAGCTTTTCCTGGAGGAGGGGACGGTGAACTCAGACTAACTTGAGTGCATGTATTAAGAGAGACCTTGATTTATAGACATTAAAAAAGTGAAAGAAAAAAAAGTCTTAAAGGGAATCTGATGATAATGGACTAATGGTTTAGGACACCTAACATTACCTAAATTGCTTGTCTTAAAAAATCTACATAGCATGTTAAAATGGACCCTTTTTAGATATTTACTTTTTGTTCTGAATATTACAAAGAAAACGTTACATCAGTTTGTAACAAAGAACAATCTAGCAGGCAACCTTGGTGTTTTTGATAGCTAGACTCTGCCCCACAGATACTGCTGTTATCTGTCACTCTGCTAGGCGGTCTCACATGGCATAACTGTTCAAGGTCCCTGATTCCCACACAGCACAGCCAAAGTTGCCACAAACATCATTGTTATCTGCTTGTTTGCCAAGACACCATGCATTTCTGTGAAGCTAGTTAACAGGCTAGGAAATGCATCAGAGTTATTTTCCATTTCATGTGCTTCAAAGAGAAATATTGGCTGCTCAGAACAGTTTACTACAGACTCAGTGGTGCTTAGTGATTGAAATAAACCAGCATGGCCTTTTCAAAGTATTCTTGAGAGCATTTTTTATAATGTATGTGTGTGTATTTTTCTTTTTTTTTCAGAGAATCCAAAGAAATTTTCTTTTTCAAATTAATTATGAAGTGTTCTCCTGTTCTGTGCTTTGTTGAAGATTCATTCCAGGATCATTTAACAAATATTATATTTCTTGCTAGGTCCGGGCATATGTACCCCACGTAATTAAGGACTTGGTCTTATGGAGCTTATAGTCCAGCAGAGTAGAAAATAATTAGACAAATAATTACATAGTTAATTGCATTTGTGGTAAGTGCCGTAGCAGTTCAAGGTGCTTTGAGCTTGTATAAAGGTGGTTTGCCATTTGTTTACCCTTTCTGAAGCTTTAGCAGTGTCCAACATTACCTGGATTTGCTCAGATTTCAGCATTTTAATTAATAGGCTAAATTATGTATGATTGGCAAGGGGAAGGGATTTTTTTCCAAATAGCATTTAGATATAGCTCTTGCATCTCTTAGTAATTATATATTATTCTAAATAGTAAGATCTTCTAAAATGTGGATGTTTGTACTGGTTCCTGGTATTTTAAAGTTTTTTCACAAATAGACTATTTATTTAATATGTTTTATTTTTTCTGTGAATCATCTCCAGATTGATTAGTCTGTCCAAGGACAGAGAAGCCTTTTCTATATTAACATTTGAGAGCTGATCTTCAGAGAAACCTTACTTGGTCTCTTTCCTATGTGTGTATTTCTTTTTTATCTTTTTATTTTTATCTGCAGAGGGCTGCCACTACGTTAGATGAGAAGATTGAGAAAGTTCGAAAGAAAAGGAAAACAGAGGTGAGAAAGAGAAGCAGTTCCTTCTCATAGTAGGTACCAAAGCTTTCCCACAGCATGACCCCACAATTTCTCTAAGCCCAAATTGGGGTGTGGCTAGTGCCGGTGCTTACTGTTAATATTCACTAAGAACCCACGCAGTGTTCTGTCCAGGCTGCAACACTTAATATTGCTCTTCTTATGTCCTGAATTTCCTGAAGTTTAAGGTCATCCTTGCTTAATTTTAATTGTGATTGGGTTTTTTTTTAGGGTAAAGAAGCCAAGTCTGGGAACTTGGAGAAGGAGAAAGAAGGAGAGGAAGGCTCTAAACCACAGGAGCAGGAAGACCTTGAAGGGAAAGATAAGGAAGGTTCAGAAGATGAAGAATCGGAGACCGACTACTCATCGGCTGATGAGACCATCCTCACCAAAGCAGGTAAACGTCACAGTGGAGGTGTCAGAAGCATCCACCTTAACTTTGCAGGAATTTCTCCACTCTTCTGCACAGTTAGTATTTGAGATTTCCTCCCTGCTTTGTTGAACTCTTTTTTTTTTTTTCTTGGTGTCTGGCTGTTACAGGGATCGAAACCTGGACCTTGGTGTTATCAGTACCACGCTCTAACTGAACTCCTTTCTTTTCGGTGCTCTTTTCCTTTAGGATTTTGTTCGGGTTTTTGTACTTTGCAGGAAGTTTACTCTTTCCCTATCTCCAGCCCCACACTGCTGCCGGGCACCTCTGACTCAAACTTGTTTGTGATCTTATTTAAATCAGATGTAGTGGGTGCTCAATAACTCTTTCTTGCAGAAATGTGGGCTAAAGCATCATAATATAGAATAGAGAATGAGAGCCTGGTCTCTGGACCAGACTTGCAGGGTTTCTTGCTGTCTGACCTTTGGCAGTTACTTCACCACACTGTCACCTAGTGTTGTCATCTGTGAACTGAGGCTGATGACAGCAGCTTTCTCATAGGTCGATGCGTAGTTTCACATCATGGTTGGTGTGTGATGTTCACAAAAGAGCTTAGGACAGTATCTGGAAGATCACAGGTACCCAGTAAATAGAAGCCACGGTTGATGTCAGAGGAATGGAGGGACCGGACAGTCAGCCTTAACCCACCCAGTCCTCTTACAGGGTTCTTGACTTCACCCACCACAGGAAAGAATTCAAGGGTAGAGTCACAGTAGAAAGTGAGAACAAGTTTAATAAAGTAGATAAGATGGGCCGACTCCGTGGCGCACTCGGGAGAGTGCGGCACTGGGAGCGCAGCGGTGCTCCCGCCATGGGTTCAGATCCTATATAGGGATGGCTGGTGTGCTCACTGGCTGAGCACGGTGCGGGCGACACCAAGCCAAGGGTTGCAATCCCCTTACTGGTCACAAAAAAAAAAAAAAGAAAAAAAAAAGAAATAAAGTAGATAAGAAATACAGGTTCCATGGAGAGAGTGTGGCATGCTCCAGAGACTGAGCAGAGCCCACACCAAGTTTAACACAAAAGTAAGTTCAGTACAGGCATCAAGTCTACCACAAAAGCAAGAAAAACATACTTAAAGTTCAGTACAAAGTGCAGGCTGGCTCAAGAGAGTGAGCAGCTGCTTCTTGAAAGTAAGTTAGGGCCGGCCCGGTGGCGCACTGCTACAGTGCGCCGCTTGGGAAGTGCGGCGGCGCTCCCGCCGAGGG